ATTATTTTCAGAGCAAAGTTCTTTGAAACTGAAAGTAATTAGATTTGTTAGTGCAATGAAAACATTTTCAAGGCTCTGTAGCGAAAAATACCGACTTTTCCATGACTTTTCAATGGTTCTTTCGCATGATTTCTCATGCAATTAATTTTTGCGAATTTGCTTTGGCGCAACGTCTCTTCAAACTGAATATAATGAAATTAATTAAATTTGAAAAAAAAACAAATTTCGGCCCAGGGAGAGAATTTCAGGGCTTTGCAGCAAAGTTCACCAATATACTTTTCTCAGTGTTGCCACAGAATTTAGAAAATAAAATTCCCTGACATTTCCCTAATTTCCCTGACACATTTTGGCAAAATTTCCTGACAATTAAAGATGTGGTGGATGGTTTAGAAGTCATGATTAAAAATAGTTTTCAGGCAAAATTTCTTGTTGAAAACTCCAAACCCATTCATAAAAGCAAATCGAGGTGATTTAACAAATTTTCCCTGACATTTTCGTTATTTTCCCTGTCATTTCCCGGTTTTCCGTGACTTTTTGAAATTCCCTAACATTTCCCAGTTTTCCCTAACTGTGGCAACCCTGTGAATATAATAAAGTTAATGATATTTAAAAATAAACAAAATTCCGCCCGGGGAGGGAATTCCAAAGCCTTGCAGCAAAGTTCACCGATGTACTTTTCAGGGTTGAGCGGAATCTCTAACCCTCCAAGAACTTGTCATTGTCCACAGGAACTTCAACTGTGACGGTTTTGGTGCAGAGGTGAAATTGCGAGGTAAACTCGGTGCTTTTGAAAGCTCAACGATACGCACCTGACATGTCGGCGACGAGGTGAACTCCTGGGCGGAAGCTAAGAGCAACACAGGACCCCGAAAAAGGGGCCGGGGACAGGTGAAGAGGGGACCGGACACTAGTTTTGTATTGGTAAACAAACGGAGCGATCAAACACGGGCGCGACGAAAAGACGACGTCCGCCTACAGATGCCTGCGTCGCGACGCTGACGATACGCACGCGCCGAGGACCCCGGCTCACTGACACAGCTCTCGCCGAGTCGATCGATACGCCAGTAGTATTTTTCGACGCCCTGCGTAACCCCCCCCCCCCCCCCCCCCCCCCCCCCCCCCCNTGGGGTCGACGCACGGCACGCGAGTAGCGGGGGAGAGGGTGAGGGTAGGGCCTCGTGCCCGGGGGTGAGTTCTTCGCAATGGGTTCGCGCAGCCCCATTTCGAATCTCCCGCCGCGCCGCGAGGCGCTCCACTCAAAGCACTAGTTATCTGCGAAGAGTCCCTTTATGCTGAAAGTCAAGACAATGTGAATCCATTTCTGATTGGTTCCCGTGTTTTAGGCCTTCACAGTGTCACAAACGGGAATACAAATTACATTTTCACCGATTGCAAAGATTATAGCCTGGAATGGACCAGGAAATTACGGGTTCATATGGCGTTCTTCTTAAGTGTGGCAGAATGTGCGATCAGTCAGTAAGTTTTTGTCGCGCATTGTCTTTTGGTTATGTTAATTTTTTGGGGCAAGATTTTAGTTCTGTAGCACTTCGAAAAAATATTTCTTTACGAAACGAATTTTATTAATTAGTTCATTTCTTGAGAAAGGACCCTACAACAAAACGGCCAAATCGGCCTAAACACGGAATCGTACGATTTTCTCAGGGATGACAGAGGGTCTTCCCAGACACTCAAAACTGGTCATATTTTTTGCCTAACCCCAAGGGAAAAGGGGGGAGAGGGGGTCAAAGTCAAAACCTTTAAATTAGCATAACTTCTCAACGGTTTGTCGTAGATAGATGATCTTGGTGTCAAAATTTCCAGAAAAATGAGAGCTTTCTGAATATATGTATGATATTAATAAAATTTTAAATTTTGACCCACTTTTGGGGGAATTATACAAGGTCCCCATTTCGTAAATTTTCGTTTTTCGATATTTTCGGTTGTTCGGTTCGCACGGAGAAAAACAAAAACAATCCTAAATGAAAGGAGAGGGCTTAAGGTTTAAAACAAGCCCAAGTTCATCTTGGGGAAACGATTAGAAGCGGAGTTATGAGTCTTCTAAGTTGACGCGGCGCGCGGGAACCTTGTATGTTCCGAGTCTAAATGTCACCTGCGCGCCCCGGATTGCTTGCAGGTTGCAAGTTTTGGTATTTTTATGCTTCTGTAGGTCATTTTAAATGTAAATCATTCAATGAAGATAGTTTAATCAGAATTTTTTAATTTTACACAATGGGCCTTCGGCGAGGTACACCACATTAACGTCAAAAAATTTTAACTGCGTTTCAAATAGCCCCCTCAAGAATAACTGAGACTTGTTTTGAAGCTCAAAGCTCTTCTGCTTCTACGAGAAACTATTTGGCTTTACCAAGTGAGTTCCGTCAAGCGCTGTAGCTTATAGCTCAATTAAAAAATTTTAAAATTAGGGGTACCCCAAAATTTGGCATCAATGGGTTATAATTTCTAAAGGGTTCAAATCTGTATGGAGCATATGTATATTTGAACTGAGGGTCCATGGTTTCTTCTAAATTATAAGAGCAGAATCGTCATCGTCAGCAAATTTTTAATGAGGTATGATGGACATAATGGTTGATACTCTAAGCCCCTTCCCGCTCCTCCCGTAAAATTAAAAAATGTCCATTATTCTATCTTCATTGAATGATTTACATTAAAAATGACCTACAGAAGCATAAAAACACAAAAACTTGCAACCTGCAGGCAATCCGGGGCGCGCAAGTGACCTTGAGACTCGGAACATACAAGGTTCCCGCGCGCCGCGTCAACTTTGAAGACTCATAACTCCGCTTCTAATTGTTTCCCCAAGATTATCTTGGGCTTGTTTTAAAGCTTAAACGCTCTATTTTCATTTAGGATTGTTTTTGTTTTTCTCCGTGCGAACCGAACAACCGAAAATCTCAAAAAACGAAAATTTACGAAATGGGGACCTTGTATAATTCCCCCAAAAGTGGGTCAAATTTTAAAATTTAATTAATTTCATACATATATTCAGAAAGCTCTCATTTTTCTGGAAATTTTGACACCAAGATCATCTATCTACGACAAACCGTTGAGAAGTTATGCTAATTTAAAGGTTTTGACTTTGACCCCCTCTCCCCCCTTTTCCCTGGGGGTTAGGCAAAAAATATGACCAGTTTTGAGTGTCTGGGAAGACCCTCTATCACCCCTGAGAAAATCGTACGATTCCGTGTTTAGGCCGATTTGGCCGTTTTGTTGTAGGGTCCTTTGAGAGTTCTTAACATTTCCAAGCAAATTACAAAGCATCATCACCTGTAATGCATCAGGTATTGGTACACAAAATCTAACAAAGGAAAATTTTAATTAGCCTCAGAAGTACGTCACGGGTGAATAACGCAAATCAAAAAGCAAAATGATTTGCGATATTCACTCGAGGTGTCCTTTCAAAGTTATTCCAAGATAAACCTCTGTCAAAGTGTGTGTGCACTAATACCTGACGTACTACAGCGTAATGTGATGCTCGTAACTTCTAGTGGAAGTACCTAAAATATTAAAATGTAAATGCTAAAGGACCACCTTCATCCTTCATCTCATTTCATATATTGTTTGACGACAGAGAGAAAAAGGAGCGATCCTATTGGTGGACGCGGATAATTGGGATGGACAATGGGGGTAAGTAAGGCCTTGTCTCCACGGGCCGTTTCACTACATTTGTCCCAGGGAAAAATCCCACTTACGAAGTTGGGAAAAATATTGAGTTAATCAATCTTTTTCCCAGTACCAAGTATGGTCCTTTTACCCTTGGGACCCACTAAGAGAAGAAGAAGAAGAAGTGTAAACGAATTATGAGATATTTTGTTGAATACTCCATTGTTCCATTGTTAAAATAATGTGTCAAATTGTCAATTGAGTGCAATTTTTATTTTAATCCATGTTAAATACTCGACTTAAACCAAGTTATCTTCCCGCGCAAACTAGTCGCAGGACTGTATGAGCCCCGTCCCGTGGAGACGGTAACTGGAAAAAATCCCAGAAGTTTCATTCCTGTGATTCGAACTTGGGACAAATCCCATGAAAACGTCCCGTGGAGACAAGGCCTAATAAACTGTAACAATCGGTAACTCACGAGAGACCCTTTAGTTAGTCCATCATTTTCCCCTTTAATATACAACAACCATCCGTTTCAACCAATAAAATCCCTTCATTTTCCCTTTGTCTTCTTTGTACATCACGTCGCCTATCAATTTCAATTATCAGCTCGCAGTGGTTTCACACAGCCCCCTCTTGGCAAATATTTTCAAACTTTTTTAGGGGCTGCTCGAAGCGACGACGAAGGCGCGATCCCGGAGTCGGAGAATGGCTGAAAACCCGCGAAGCGCGTCGGTGGCGTCGCGACGCGGCCGGCGGGCGGCGGGTCGGGCGTCGTCGTCACTTGACATGGACACCGAATCCATGAGCGGGCTTGCGGTTTTCGATAGAGAAACGCCCGGCGCGCTGAACAGCTGCGGCATGCAGCACCACCATGGAACCGAGCTCTTGCATCCGAGAACCCGAGTGCGCTCGAAATACGCGGAATAGATTTTCAAGGCGTGGATGAGACACGCGTCGTCCGTCTGAACGTAGAGAAAATTCAGATGATAAAAAAAAAAAAAAAAGAAGAAAAAAAATTATACGGAATAACACTAATGAATCAATAACTCATGGAGATAGCGCTTGTCATATCGTCACCTCCCGGCCAAGTATCAAGCGCCATGCGACGTTTCAAAATTTCCACCGGCATTCAATCTTCCACAGAGAAATTTTTGATTGAATCTGTTTGAAAATTTCACGGAATTTTATCGGCAGCACGAAGAATATTCGGTGAAATTTTCGGACAGCTTCGTGGAACAATTACTCTGTAGAGAAATAAAATGGCAGCGGAATTTTTTAAACGTCGCATGACGCTTGTGATACTTTGGCCGGAATTCTCCGGAAAAGTCTTAAATTTAACAGTAAGTAAACATCATTTCATTTCAACTCTTACTTACTTGGAATTGGAAGCAGGTCCTCCTCACAATCAGCGTCATCCGCCGTCCGGAATTCTTCAGACAGACCGTGGAATTCTGCACCATGTTGCATCCCGAACCTGAACCCCATTTTAGTCCTACAATCTGATCGGGGTGGACTTGTGATATGTTTTCTGAAGCTGAGTTTCATGCAAATATGGGAGGAGTGAACGCCTTACTCGCAATCGCAAACGGCAGCTGCATTGCCAAAGGGGATCCAGGCCGCAGTAGCAGAATTCCCAGCCTCGGCGATATTCAATATGTTGTTGTAGACGGCGTGATAGGCATTCGGGAAAGTTACAGAAACATCGCCGGGTTGTTGGATCATCTAAACAGAGAAAAAATCGTGGTATGATCATCAGGAATTTGTCTGGGCTTCTGATTAACATTATCACCTGAAGCTCTGGAGAATTTCAAGAAAAAATATTCATGTATTTCATTGAAAATGAAAATGGAGTATTGCATGTGTAAGGAATTTGCGATTTGACTATTGATTCTTAGGTAAAAGTTCGCGAGAACAACAATGGTGCCACTGGTTTTCTCTGAAATCAACTCCCAAGCTCAAAAAAAGCTCTCAAGTTGAGGCCAAAATGGAGGGGATATCCTACCCTACCCTGAGAGTCCACTTCTACATCAAGACAGACTCTCCGTGCAAAGATAGGGAGCAAATACATTGACAGGGCTCCCACTTTATTTGGGGACTCCAAAACTGAACACACGGCAACCCTGCTGATGTATTTGCTCCCTATCTTTGCATGGAGAGTTCGTCTTGATGTAGGTGGACTCTCAGGATCGTGTGGGATATACCCTCCATTACAGCCTAAACTTTTAAAGCTTTTTTTGAGCTTGGGAGTTGATTTCAGAGAAAATCAGTGGCACCATCGTGTTTCTCGCGAACTTTTACATAAGAATCAACAGTCAAATGGCAAATTCCTCACACATGCAACATCTCCATTTCAGCGAGGGAAACTTGGCAACTCTGGAATGTTCATACGGCGTTATTTCTTAGCAAGGCAGAATGAGTCAACCGCAAATCGTCCGCGCGTGAACCCGAAATCGCTGCGTGAGGCGCCCCGCGCCGCGACGCGGTATGACGATCCAAGAGGATCGAATGCTCATCTTACAGGATACGGTGCAAAGTCGTGAAATAAGACAGGGTTTCAGACAGCTTATCAGAACTAAACCCTAAGACCTCAAGGACTTTGAAAAACAAATTTTGTTCCAAAATTATAATTGAAAAATATCGCGAGAGCCTTAAACTTCCAACCATAAAAGCATATTTTCTGAGAAAATCATGACTGTTTTCGAACCAGCTGTTAGCTTGGTTCCATTGAACTGATTTTTGTTGGCAACTTCAAGGTAGGGCGTATCTAAGCCTAATAACAGTGCAATTTTTGAAGGGTTTCGGTCTAAAAAAGTAGATAAAATAGTCTGCATGCTGCGATTCTACGGCAAAATGTCAAGAAAATTACAAAAAAATAAGGTATGCATGCAATGATTATCGGAGGTAGTTACAGAAATAAGATAACTTTGAAAATTTTTAAGTTTTGGAAGAGAAAAAAGTGGAAAAGTAATAAGAGAGGGTAGAATCGTCTTTAAAAACAATTTTTCACATTAGAGTCAGGGCTCAGTTTTCTTTCGGAGGCCCTTAAAGAGACATCCCCCTCCCCCCTCCACGTGAGATTTGAAGGGACTTGCACTTTACCGAGGTTTTAAACTCTAAGTTAGTTCGGACGAATCCGTTCACTTTTCTCTCATCAGTCTCATCTGTAAATTTCAACGATTCAATCGCGGCTCTGCGTTCGGTTTTTGCTCATTCTGCCGTGCTAAGGAAAAACGCCGTATGAGTCTTCAAGCGTTGCCTAATTTCCTTCGATAAAATAAAAATTATCAGGAAAATCTAAAAATATTCATAAAATCCGTCAAAAATGAACGTTTCACAGGGAGAAATTTGGCAACGTCCGGATATTCATACGTCGTTTTTTCTCAGCAAGACACCAGAGCATTGCGCGGTGGCCGCTGCGAGGACAACCGCGACAAATTTCGATTAGTTTCGCGCGCGGCCGATGACCGCCGCGACGCGACGCGTCTTCACTTTCGGTCAGGGTTGCCACGTTGAGCGGTTAAACGTAGATATTCCAGGTGGGTTAAATTGGACGAGTGGTGATTATTCAGCTTTATACGGCATCGATGCTTTCGGTGAGGCGCATCGCGACGCCAAGCGCGGGACTCGAGTCGTCGGCGTCGCACGACAGCACTTGGATCGGCGGCCGCTTTCGTTGCCTCCAGTGCATCTATCCGCGAACGGCATCACCGAACCGGTCCCATAACCGCCTCATGAATGAAAGTCACCAGTGTCTAGCCGGGAATGGGTCAGTTGCGCTAGTCGCAGAATCGTGTACGCATGATTTCGGCAAAAATGATAAGATCTACCAAAATACCAAGTTTTGGCGTCCAATAATAACGAAAATACCGCCAGGGTCTGAATCGCCACCTTAAGGCCAAAGTATCACAAGCGCCGCGCCGTGCGATGCTTAAAGTGTTCGCCGCCATTTAATTTGATTACAGAAAGATTTTTTAACGTAGCGCTTTGAAAATTTCACTGCATTTGTTTGTGCTGCCGATAAAATTCACTGGTAAAAAAAACCGCTTGGTTCAAGAGTGCAGTTTCTTGTCGCCGGATTTAAGAGTCTGGACTCTTGTTTCAATGCAAAATCCGCTTGAAACAAGAGTTCAAGACTCTTAAATCCGGCGACAAGAAACTGCACTCTTAAGTCAATGCACCGCGGCATTGGTCCAAGAGGTTTTTTTTACCAGTGTTCAGTGAAATTTTCAAACAGATTCCACCAACAATATTTCTCTGTAGAAAAATAAAAAGGCATGCAGCGGAACTTTTTAAAAGTCGCATGCCGCTTGTGATACTGTGGCCGGAAGTTGACGATATTCTAAATTCGAACAACTGTGGGCAAGTTGAGCTTTTTTCACAGCAGAGTCAAGCCACAACGGTGCGCAAACCATTAATCAGTGACCGAATAACAAAGTCAACATGTTCCCCTCAACTTGTGGCCGACCGTAACTCTGCCAACAAGATTCGGGCCAAGATCTGCCCAAACACCGAATGTTGATGTCAAATAGTAACGAAAATATCGCCCAGGGGTGCAGAAAGTTTTCCAGCCCACACAATCGGGAGCGACCAGGGATTCAGCCGACGTTTTGGGAGATTGCATGTTTGCAGTAGTTTTCACCAAAAAATAGCGCGTAAGCCGTCATTTTTTAAAAAAAGTAACGTTTACGCAATGAAGTTCTCAAAAATTTAACGCTTTTGCGGTACTTTTTTCAAAAATTCAACACTTAAGCAGTATTTTCAAAAAATACGACGCACTGACGCAGTAATTTTCTAAAAAAAAAAGTCAACGTTTTCGCACTAGTTTGGTGAAAATCAGTGTGATAGCACCAATTTTTACAAAATGTCAACATCCTTGTCATAAGTATTTGTAAAAAGCAGTGCGTTGACCATACACTCTTTCGGATAAAACCGAACTTGTGATAGGTATGACCGAACTTTCGGTGAATGTAACCAAACTTCCTTCATCAGTTCTTTTAGCCGCATCAGTTCCTTTAATCTCATCAGTTCAGTTATACGAATCGAACGTTCGGTTATATGAACTGAAAGTTGGGTTTGACAAATTGAATAGAGGAGACGATACAGAACACCACGTTTTTAATAATTTTGTGGGTACGTAATCCTATTTCCTTGCATGGAAATCGAAATCGTTGTATCGCTCTTTTCGCCCTATCCAACTTTTCTACTCCTGCGTTAAAGTATCTGAGTCGGCCGAAAAGATATTATCCTTCATTTCTTGGATATGCAATTTTACCTGCTTGGAAGGCAAAATAGTTGTATCACACGTTTCGCTCGATCCAACTTTCCTACACCTGCGTTAAAATCTCTAAGTCGGCGGAGAAGAGACCGAGCTCTTTTTCATTTTATTGGATATGCGAAAAAGCCTTGCTGCTTCATAATCATGACCAGTTCTGTGAAAATGGACCTCATCTCCCGGAAACACATTGCCGAAACTCTGAACTTGGCGCGAAAAACGATCGCGGGAGGCGCCTGCAAAACTGTAGGGATACTTCAAGCATCGCGCAATCTCTACCCGATCTCTAATCTCGCTCCCGGCTCCTGACTCGCAAATCGCGCTAGGCTCGAGTTGCGTTCACTATTTTGCCATGCTTAGGTAAAACGCCGTTAGAACCTTCAAGCGTTGCCAAATTGCCTTTGATAACTCACGAATTTTCGGGGAAATTTGTAAATATTTTCCCTCCAATGTTTCAGACAATTTTGTTCGAAATTTCCTGAAGTTCCTGAAAATGTCCAGAAAAAATATTCATAACTTTCTTCAAAAATAACTATTTTCTGAGAGGAAATTTAGCAACTCTCGAATGTTCAAACGGCGATTTCCTCAGCACGGTCGTGCTTGCACATGCATGAGGTAGCGCGTGTATACAACAGCAGAGGTTGCGGGCAAAAATTGAGCGCAATTTGATCAAAACGGAATGAATTGTTAATCGTCTATTATGAAAGGTCGCAGCCTACGCCATTTTCTCACTACTTATGCAGTTCGCGACCGATAGATCGGTCGTCCATTCGTGAACTTTGTGCAAAATTCCAGATATGAGTATCAACTTTTTTTCATCTCTTAGTCGATTTTTTGGCGCACATTCAAAAGTAACCCGGAGAATTCATGGTTTTTGGAAGAAAATCGGCCTTTCCTTTGAATACTCCGTTTTTCCTTAGGTTATCAGTATGAGGCGCCAGTTTGCGCCTTTTTTCGACAAATCCGTTCAATTATTCGTTTATCAGTCCTCGCGTGAGGAAAAACGTAAGTGCAGTTGTGCACGCTTCAGAACGCCTTCAATCTCTTTACTCGGCAACTTTTCTTGCTTGATTGCAAGTTTCATAAAGGAAGTAGTTTGCCAGAATCGGGGAATTTTTCCATCAGTGCGTTTTACTCTCTGCGATGGCAATTTATCAAGATCCCTCTGAAGGGTCCGTTTAAGGTCCTAAGTGTTAAGAAGTGCAGTGTAGTCACTGTGTAAAACAATAAAACAGGAGAGAAAATTGGTGTTTTTCCTCAGCACCAGTGGCGATTTTGCAAGTTTGCAATAATGTTTTTCATTTTAACGGTGCAATTTTTGGACCATTAAAAATCGAAAAATTGCTATAAATTCGCAGTTAGTACAATTTGATTTTACTTTTTATTGCAAGTACAAGAAGATCTTTTGGTGATTTTTCTGTTAAGAAAAATTCAACTGAATTCGATGATC